TGAGAATGGTCCAGGACGGAGCGAAACGTCGTCGTCCCTTCACCTTCTAGTGTGTGGTCTGGTCAACATACTTTAGCCACGTTATTGTGACTCATCGCCTGCATGCTGTTCCTTCAAAACACAACTTTTCTCACATATAAATTATTATTATTATTATTATATATTAGCATATTTGTGCATATTCTGGCACTGGTTAGGTGTTTAGGTTCTGTTGGCGATTATTTGTATTAGTAGTACGTGGGTGAAGCATTTACAGCGTTGTGGTTCGAACAAAATTCGTCAGTGAAGCACTTGTTCCGGAAGTGTTCGAACGTCAGCAGTTGTGAGTCGTGTGTAAACCGCTTTTCATTCATAAACAGCTGGGGGTTTGGCGGGTGCATGGAATCACTTTTGGATCTTTGTTTGGAGGACGGGCTGGTTTACAGAGCTGCGATTCGAACAGTTGACGTCAGCGAAGCACTGTTCGAGAAAGCTCAAACGTGATCAGTTGCGAGTAGAATGTAAAGTATTTTTCACTCATAGACAGCGATGTTTGGCGGCTCGATTAACGAGCATTTGGTCTTAGTTGATGAGGACAGTGTGTACAAGACACACATGAGGGGCTCATCTACCTGCATGGACCTGATTACTATACATTACGGTTAGACGAGTCTCCCCTACAGACCCGTGTTACCAGACGAAGGTTTTCTATGGTAAATGCAGTAGAACCTTCCAGGTTACTCTGTTAGCATCGGTGACTGAACGCCCCGGCGCCTCTAACACGCCTGGGCTGGCCAAGTAACTAGATTAAACACTAGTCGCTCGTAACTAGTCGATTACGTACTTAACATAACGTGTGTTGAGACTGTATAGAACTAGGGGAAACTTTGGTGTTCCCGATAGTCCATATTTTGTCTATCGCTTGAGTCGTATTTTTCAATTACATCCAGACTCATATTCTCTTTCTGTAAATATATATTATTTACCCTTTATTATTGTTATATCTTCTTGTCCATCCCCAGGGGCCTTATTGTCCTTTACAAATATTTAAATTTTGCTCCGAGGGACGAGTTTATTAGGCAGCGTCACTCATCCTGTGAGTGGACACACCGCCATAGTGACAGTATTGGGCAGCGCCACTCATCCTGTGAGTGGACACACCGCCATAGTGACAGTATTGGGCAGCGCCACTCATCCTGTGAGTGGACACACCGCCATAGTGACAGTATTGGGCAGCGCCACTCATCCTGTGAGTGGACACACCGCCATAGTGACAGTATTGGGCAGCGTCACTCATCCTGTGAGTGGACACACCGCCATAGTGACAGTATTGGACAGCGCCACTCATCTTGTGAATGAACACACCGCCATAGTGACAGTATTGGGCAGCGCCACTCATCCTGTGAGTGGACACACCGCCATAGTGACAGTATTGGGCAGCGCCACTCATCCTGTGAGTGGACACACCGCCACAGTGACAGTATTGGGCAGCGCCACTCATCCTGTGAGTGGACACACCGCCATAGTGACAGTATTGGGCAGCGCCACTCATCCTGTGAGTGGACACACCGCCATAGTGACAGTATTGGACAGCGCAACTCATCCTGTGAGTGGACACACTGTTATAGTGACAGTATTGGGCAGCGCCACTCATCCTGTGAGTGGACACACCGCCATAGTGACAGTATTGGACAGCGCCACTCATCTTGTGAATGAACACACCGCCATAGTGACAGTATTGGGCAGCGCCACTCATCCTGTGAGTGAACACACCGCCATAGTGACTAGTATTGGACAGCGCCACTCATCCTGTGAGTGGACACACCGCCATAGTGACAGTATTGGGCAGCGCCACTCATCCTGTGAGTGGACACACCGCCATAGTGACAGTATTGGACAGCGCCACTCATCTTGTGAATGAACACACCGCCATAGTGACAGTATTGGGCAGCGCCACTCATCCTGTGAGTGAACACACCGCCATAGTGACTAGTATTGGACAGCGCCACTCATCCTGTGAGTGGACACACCGCCATAGTGACAGTATTGGGCAGCGCCACTCATCCTGTGAGTGGACACACCGCCATAGTGACAGTATTGGGCAGCGCCACTCATCCTGTGAGTGGACACACCGCCATAGTGACAGTATTGGGCAGCGCCACTCATCCTGTGAGTGGACACACCGCCATAGTGACAGTATTGGGCAGCGCCACTCATCCTGGGAGTGGACACACCGCCACAGTGACAGTATTGGGCAGCGCCACTCATCCTGTGAGTGGACACACCGCCACAGTGACAGTATTGGGCAGCGCCATTCATCCTGTGAGTGGACACACCGCCATAGTGACAGTATTGGGCAGCGCCACTCATCCTGGGAGTGAACACACCGCCATACCAGCATGTACAACACTCCCCAATAGGAAGAAAACCCGCTGGGTTGTTCATCCTGTCACTTGTACCCAGACAAAGCTACTGTGCTCCACAGATCGTTTTAAACATAAGACTAAGGAAGTTATTGACAACATGTGACGATAAAGTGTACATATATATATATATATGTGGCCCAGCTGAGAGCTGCTTGGCCCTTTGCCCACGTGGCTCTGTTTACGTTCGAGATGTTTACATAACGTCATAATACGCTTCTGGGAAGAGGTAGGGAGGGTGATTACCTATGTAAACATTCGTCTCTCGCGATGTCAATGTTGCAGCCTACGAGGTATGTATGGATGTTGAAAACCCTTCGGAAACGAAGCGAGTTTGTAATGTTGACAAGTATTTACTCATGAATCTCAACTATTTAAAGCTGCTGTGTTTAAATATACGGAGTAAACATCACAGAGCTGTAATATTTAAAACATTGCAAATGTTCGCTGTAACTAAATACGGACAATGTTTCAAGTGTCAACATTTTCACCGATGACATTGGCACCTACAATGTGGAAACATTTCAAATGGTGATTTTTTCAGCGTCACCATTTATAATGTAGAGTTTCTAACACACGATAAAACATTTAGGCCTACAAGACACGAGCCAACAAAAAGGGGGGGGGGGGCAGACATGAGTAAACAAGGGGGGGGGGAGAGAGACCCGGGTACAACCGGGTAATTTGTATATATAAATGGAAATGTGTGTGTTGGAGGGGGGGAGGGAGAGAGGGAGAGAGAGAGAGAGAGAGAGAGAGAGAGAGAGAGAGAGAGAGAGAGAGAGAGAGAGAGAGAGAGAGAGAGAGAGAGAGAGAGAGAAAGGGGCCGACGAAAGGAGAGAAAGGAGGTTATCTTGAGATGATTTCGGGGCTTAGCGTCCTCGCGGCCCGGTCCTCGACTAGACCTTTTTGTTACACATCCCCCAGGAAGCAGCCCGTAGCAGCTGTCTAACTCACAGGTACCAATTTACTACTAGGTGAACAGGCGCACCAGGGTGAAAGAAACTCCGTCCATTTGTTTCCGCCTCCACCGGGGATCGAACCCGGAACCTCAGGACTACGAATCCCGAGCGCTGTCCACTCAGCTATCAGACTCCTTTCTAAGGGAGGGGGAGGGGGGGGGTGAAGCAGGAAAGTGTACCCCCCCCTCATAAAATAGGGACCCAAGGGATAACGCCCCCCTCTACACCCCCCCCCCCCTCGGGGACAGGAACCCAGGGGTCAACCCCCCCTCTCAACCCCCACAAAAAAATACAAATGTTGCCACTGGGTGATGATTGTTTTTGATGACATTTGATGCAACAAACACATTTCAACAATTGTTAATCAACAACAAACATCAGAGTATACACAAAAATTAATGTAAACATTGAAACATTAGATGGGAGAACCTAATGTTAATAAACCTGACTTATTATACACAATAATGTTAATATTTTAGTTACAAAAAAATGGATGATAAAAACATTGTAACACAGGGTATATTTGGCAGCCGACACTAACGGATGACCACAGGTTAGTAACACTTTATTATGATGAGGTCTTAGTCGTTATTAAAGCTTATTCATCTACCCGGTGTTACGCGGTAGACTGGCGGTAGTGGGAGTGGAAGCTGAGAGAGAGAGAGAGAGAGAGAGAGAGAGAGAGAGAGAGAGAGAGAGAGGTCCGTCTAATTACCCAAAGCTACACAAAGATTCCTAATATTACGTTATTAATGAATAAATATGATATATTTATTCACTATAATATTGGTGCTGAATGTAGAACATGGGAAAAAACATATTTTTACTCCGAAATAATATAAGTTTATAAAGAAATTAGACGAAAGTGACATGAAAGGCCATAGGAAGCCGACGATCCAAGCGACAATGTTTTGGAGCGACTTATCCAAGACAATGTTGCTCGGAGAGTGTTTGCTGGCATATCAGCCTTCTGTACCTACCTAACTAAACCAACCTACCCAAAAATAACTTAACAAAATCTAACGTAACCTAACTAAACTTAACCTATCCAAACCTAACTTGATATAACCTGTAGGCAAGAGTATATCTTGGATAAGTCGCTCCACAACATTGTCGCTTGGATCGTCGACTTCCTATGGCCTCTCACGTCACTTTCGTCTAATTTCTTTATAAACTTATATTATTTCGGAGTAAAAATATGTTTTTTCCCATGTTCTACATTCAGCACCAACATTATAGTGAGTAAATATATCATATTTCTTAATTATTTACGTAATACTAGGAAGTTTTAGGTAGCTTTGGGTAATTAGATGGAGAGAGAGAGAGAGAGAGAGAGAGAGAGAGAGAGAGAGAGAGAGAGAGAGAGAGAGAGAGAGAGAGAGAGAGAGAGAGAGAGAGAGAGAGAGTGAGTCTGAGACCGTATACAGACAGATAGGAAAATACAGACATAGATAAAGAGACAGGATAGACACCAACACGACACAAGGACAACAACAAAAAACAAGAGAGAGGGAAAAAGAAAAACAAACCCAAAAGCGATGAGGGTTAAGGTGAAAGTCCCCTCACCACATGAATCAGTCAAGCAGACAGACAGACAGACAGTGACAGACAGTTACAGACAGACAGACTGACATACCTGCATGCATGTTGTGCGGGGAGGATAGTAAGTAGAGAAGGTATGGTCCCTTCAGCTTCACGTCACTCTCACCTGTAACAAAAACAAACAATTGGTTATACATTGGTATACAATTGGTTATACATTGCTATACAATTGGTTATACATTGGTATACAATTGGTATATACACAATTGGTTATACAATGTGTCCCTGAGATCACCAATGGTTGATCTATGGGACAAATTACTGGATAACATAACAGACGTAGAATCACTTGATTGTTTCAAGAGTAGGTTAGACATTACTATATATATATATATATATATATATATATATATATATTATATATATATATATATATATATATATATATATATATATATATATATATATATATATATTTACGTCTCTCTGATATTATATCTACATTTGAGTGAGGTGGGAAGGGTGATGTGGCATAACACAAGACAGAACAGGAGGGGATATTAATAGGGTATTAAAAGTATCAACACAAGACAGAACAGAAACAATGGGTATTGAATAGAAGTGGTTGTAGAAGAATCAAGAAATATGGACCAATAGGCTTTCTACAAACACTTCTATTCAATACCCATTGTTTCTGTTCTGTCTTGTGTTGATACTTTTAATACCCTATTAATATCCCCTCCTGTTCTGTCTTGTGTTATGCCACATCACCCTTCCCACCTCACTCAAATATATATATATATATATATATATATATATATATATATATATATATATATATATATATATATATATATATATATATAGAGCGCTTTAGTGTGGCGATCCAGAGAGGAAATGCTCACGGCATCCATGGTCCCTGCCCGCCATCTGAGGAGCTGGAGGAGCTTTACAACCTGTGACAAGTAGCCGTGTACCCTGCATGTAACCAATGTTGTAACCCTTTTTGTGTAATGACATTTTAAAAATAAAGTTAGATATATATACACACATACTAAAACAATAGGGGTGGTAGGAGAAGAAAATGTTAAAGTGTTCAGTGAGGATCCACAAGGTCTTCTCTAAGTATTCTCTATTTTCTTCTCCGAGGCTATGGGTCCCTACACTTGCACCAGAGGTGGTACCCCTATAGAGCAGCCAGAGTTGCCTGGCCAATACAGAGGCTTTCCTAGAGAGGCCCCATGAACTTGAATACATAATACATTATGCATAAGCTTGAATACAGCACGCAAATACACGTGTACCATAATACACAACAATACAGGAGCTTGTACCATAATACAACATTAATACCAACAGGAGCTGCCTCTTATAGTTCAACAGGTCCTCTGCAGCGCCCTCTAGTGGCAAGTGTATCTCTTACTCCCCCCCCACCACCTACCTCACTTGTTGCAAACATCTCCCCCACTTAAGAGAGAGAGAGAGACTGGCCACATGGTTCTCTGTTTCTCTCCACCTCCCTCTCCCCTTCACTCTTCCCTCCCTCCTCACCTTCCTTCTCTCCCTCACCGTCCATTACCACCCTGGGCTTTGATCAGAGGGTGAGGAGAGAGGCCAGGGTGGGTGAGAGAAAGGACGTAGAGGTAATGAAAGCTACCGGGGACAGGTAAAGCCGCCCCATAATGAGATTGTCCTCGAGTGCAAGAGGGAGAAGGGTTTGAGTGCATGAGGCAGCGAGTGGAGAAACATAAAGCCGGGTGTCGAAGTGAAAATGAGCTTGAGTGAACGAAGGGAAGTGTGTGAGTGAGAGTGCAAGAGAGGATCTAGGCACAAATGAGTGTGAGTGTGTGAAAGGCAGGGCTGAAGTGTGAGTGTGAAAGGCAAATAAGTGAGAGTTATGAGGGTGAATGAACACGAGTATATAACAAGTATAATTCTGAGTGATAACAAGTGCAAGTGACAGTACAAGTGCGACTGACTCAGTCAAAACGAGAGTGTTACACACGAGAATAGTACAAAAGCCACAGCAAGTACCCCCCCTCCCACCACACGCGCGCACACACACACACACACACATGCGGGGCCTCACATACAGGATTCGTAATTCTGTGGCGCGGGTTCGACACACACACACACACACACCAGCAGTAAATAGGTACCACACACACACACACACACACACACACACACACACACACACACACAGCATGACAAGGCAGTAGACAAAGTTCATAATGAAAGCCAAGATACTTAACATAACACTTTCTTCCACCTTTCCTAAGATAAGCCTCAAAGCAATGGAAGACACAAACTAGAAGAGGAGGGTGTGATACAAGCCACAGACCAACGCATCACTGATCACGCTAACTGTGAGTGCAAGCACTCCGATGAACCATGCCAATAGTCTTCGCCTCCACACTGGAAATGTAACAACTTCCAGATTTCTGGAAAGTAAAGGTAAAAATTAGGAGAAAGCGCTCAGCCAGCATGACTACAGAAGGGGGATAGGAGAACAAGGAGGCTGGGATAGGGGAGAGATGGCATGGCACCCATCCTCTTGGACCTTCAGGCATCTAACGACCGTCCTGCTTGTAGCGAGGCCCTCGTAGTACCGACCAGTCCATCAGCGGATGGCTAATGTGGGGCACCCATATACAGGCAAGACGGGAGTCACTCTATTACACACCTGAATCACTAATATGTATTCCCTGCATGTTGGGACGGCTTAGACCCCAAGGCCCACCCTCGCGCCTTGACCCCACCCTAACACACTCCCCTTGACCATCACTAAAGCAGTCTGCTCACTCGGGAATATGAAGAGCAAAAATCCGAACAAATCCTCCTTCCGTTGCAAGAACGTAAACAAAGACAAATCCGCACTCATCTCTCACGACTTCTTTCTTTGCTCTTAAAATAACCTCACCAACCATTAACAGCCATCAGTGTGTGCTTGAAAAATAACGACAAATAATCCCAATAAATCCATCTCCACTGCAGAAACAAACGTGTCGAACATATGAAAGAACAATAACATACATTAAATCAATTAAGCATAATTCTTGGGACGGAAACTTTGAGACGACAGTAATCCGCTCGAATCAATGTTTATGAAAACGTCAACAAAGAGTAATGCAGACTAGTGCTAGAGGCTTTGCCAGTGTAAATCCTCTATAATCCGCTTACCCCCGAGCTTCCAGAAACGTGGATGGAATGTAAGGGAGATGGTGGGATCCACTCACGCTGAGTGGAGGTGGGGTGACAAAATCTACTTACACTAACCAGAGGGCTGGCAAAATCCACTCACACTAGAGGGTGTGAGTGGAGTCTAGTTAGTGTGAGTAAATCTACTCACACTAACTAGAGGGAGGGCTAAAATCTACTCACACTAACTAGGGGGAAGGCTAAAATCCACTCACACTAACTAGGGGGAGGGCTAAAATCTACTCACACTACCTAGAGGGAGGGCTAAAATACACTCACACTAACTAGGGGGGGCTGGGGGGGAACTGGGGGGGGACTATATTCACAAGCACAGGGGTACAGGAGGCGCCTAGACATCCCCCAGGACGAGGCTGGAGCATCCAGCTCCATCCTGATGGAAGGAGACACCAAGGAAGACTCTGGCACAGTGCCACAGTCTTGGCACTAAACCCCCCCACCACCACCTCATCCACCCAAAACACCACCTCACTCAACCTCACGCTAACGGCTACATGGCCAACACTGCCCTAACAACGCCACGTTAATTGTTCGCTAATGGCTGTTAAAACCTTTCCTTGTAGTTTCGTCTATTGGCTCTGGGAGGTCATTCCACCCCTCTGATCTCTCTCACTAACCTCTATTACATTCCACACCTCACTAGTGTGACCTCTCGAGCTGACCTCACTAGTGTAGAGTGACTAGGGAAGTGTTAGTTCAGACACTAATGACGTCAAAGGTGGTTTAAGCTCCGCCCCCAAGCATCTCGCGCCATCAAATTAACCAATGAGCGCACGAGACGATTTGATGAACCAATTAGAGCGCTTCACCGACTGAGTCAACCAATCAACGTGCTCCAAATAATTAACGTTCCCTAACAGACATTATTTATGGCCCGTAAGGCCGAACCAATATTATATAACGTAATAAATTATCCGCTGATGATAAATTATACCGCAAAGGGTCATAATTATACCAAGAGGCATGTAATAGTGTCTGAAAATGCAGTAATTGGTATAGTTTCCTCAATATGGGCAAGTATAGGCTGAGCTTGGGCTGGGGGCGATCCCAGCTTGGGCAAGCATAGGCTGAGCTTGAGCTGGGGACGGTCTCAGCTTGGATAACCATAGGCTGAGCTTGAGCTGAGGACGGTCTCAGCTTGGATAACCATAGGCTGAGCTTGAGCTGAGGACGGTCCCAGCTTGGGTAACCATAGGTTGAGCTTGAGCTGAGGACGGTCCCAGCTTGGATAACCATAGGCTGAGCTTGAGCTGGGGACGATCCCAGCTTGGATAACCATAGGCTGAGCTTGAGCTGGGGACGGTCCCAGCTTGGATAAGCATAGGCTGAGCTTGAGCTGAGGACGGTCCCAGCTTGGATAACCATAGGCTGAGCTTGAGCTGGGGACGGTCCCAGCTTGGATAACCATAGGCTGAGCTTGAGCTGGGGACGGTCCCAGCTTGGATAACCATAGGCTGAGCTTGGGTTGCCTCTAGAACAAGCTGCCACTGCACAAGACGCCCCCCCCCCTCCCCCTGCTGCTGGGGGTGGCAATCGCAATAAATCGTAAACACTTAAGATCAGTAAATCTCTCTGACCTCAATAGAGCATTGACGACTTAAGAGCTGTAAATTTGGTCAACGCTAATTCTGAGTATTGGACTTTATCCTCATTAGGATATACGGTTGAATGGATAGGATATTATTCTCATTAGGATATATGATATACTTTATTCTCATTAGGATTAAAGCACAATGCGCAGAGGACGAGGGGGCGCTGCCCCCCACTGGCGGGAAAATAAACCACTGGAGGTCTGCTCCGGCCATTATATAAACAAAGAATTTCCCAGCGCGCGCAGGCTACATCCGGCTGCTCTTGCGGCCAGGCATCCATCCGGCTGCTCTTGCGGCCAGGCATCCATCCGGCTGCTCTTGCGGCCAGGCATCCATCCGGCTGCTCTTGCGGCCA